AGCCAATTGCGCACAGCAATGTCCCACAAACAGTCGTAGATTGAAAATGACCAATTTATTATTGTTTTTGGTTTTTGGCGGGATTATTATTAGGCTCTGTGTGGAGTAAGGAAACTTGCCCAAGGTTTCGCCCTCTGCCTGGAATTGAACCCAGGTCTCTCGCTTGCAAAGCCAGTGCTCTAACCACTGAGCTACAGGACTCCATGATGATATCTTAGGGGAGGTGGGGGGGACAGGTTTACCACAATTTGCACACTTGGTCACTAGGCTCAGGCCAGAGAGGTGATCACACCCCCATGATTTGTTCAGGTGGTCATGAAGAAAGGAATCAGGTCCTTGTCATCCTTTCATGATCTAGGACCTAGATTGTGTGGTGGGAAAAAGGTTGTTTGCTTGACAACTCTAGTTCTTGTTTGAGGAACATGACTTGGTTTAATTCGGCTTAGAGGGTGGGAGTGGGGTCTAACTTCGCTTACCAAATAAAAACATCTGATCTCCTTTCTGAATATCAAATCTGCTTCCTCCCATCACAACATCAAGTTGTTTTTTAATTAGTGCAGAATCTGGGCCTCAACCACCCTTCCCAGTAGCCTGTTCCAGTAGTTAATTACCAACTGGGTAAAGAAATATATATTCGCTGTATTTTTCAACATGTTGTCCTTTGGATGAGACCTTAAACCGAGATCCAATCTGCCTTTCAGGTGGATGTTAAAGATTGCATGGCTCTGCTCAAAAAAGAAGGGTTTTTTCCCACTGATATCTTGCCCAACAATCTTCAAGGTATCCTCAGTCATTCACTTCATGGCTGAGCATGGACACTGCTGTGCACAATTTGGCTCCCTTGTGCGCCAACAAGTACAGTCACTACTACTGTAAAACCATATGAAATTCAAACTTTGCAAAAGTCAGTTATCACCTTCAAGTGTGCTATACCAAACACTTCTTTGTAAAATGCACCAATATTAAAAATAATTTTAAAAACTAGAGGTAATAAAAATGGGATATGATTTTGGATGGGGCTGGGGGGGGGTGTGGGTTGTAAAATGAGAATCTGATTTTTTTGACTCTAGCAGATGCCCTCACTCTGGAGGCCATGCTATAAGAGAGAACTTGTACACTTTTATAGCACCTCAGCATATCAAAACATCTCAAAGTACTTCACAGATAATTATGGTGAAGGGAAGGGACTGCACTGGAAGCTAAACAAACCAACACGGTTGACTGATGACGAGATTAAGACCATCTCCTGAGCAGACTGTTCAATCAATTGGAAGGAAAGAGACTAAATCTTCGGTCAATTCTGCATGATGGGGTATGTATTCATGATTGAAGTGTTGCTGCTGGATAGAACTAAGTTACAGGCGTTGCTGGCCCGCCCAGAATTTCCTTGTAAATTTGGTGAAGCCCTTTGGACAGGAAAAAAAAGCTGCAACCTGCGAGACTAATACATTCAGATCAATTTGCAGCTTTGTCGGTTGTCGTCACTGCTGCTTGGAGTTCCACCCGCCAAGTAATAATAATCCTTGCATTTGATAAAGTGTCTTATCGCTTTGTGGCGACATCTCAAAGCGCTTCACAGAATACACTGTAAAGTGATTTGTCTGTATATTTTGTGGACAAAGTATATCCTCGACATCTCAACCTCAAGGTACTTGAGCACCAATTCTAGGTGCTCAAGTAGCCTATGAACCAAGTGTAGCAACAGTATATTTTCTTTAAATGAGAGTGAAAAAAGACTTTAGCAATACCCTTATATTGTACCTCTGGAAAATACAAGGTCACTAGAGTTCATGAATGTGTCTACACTTGACATTTATTAGGTTATTTCATACAATAATCTTCCACTTTGCTTCCAATACAGGTCAAAGGGTCTGTGGATGCTACTCAGGTCTCCATTTCCATTCCACGGGAAGCACACTTGCTTGTTTACAGTCTCCCTAAATTTTCGAAATGTTGATCAACTCCCTCAAAGTGATCAGTGCTTCACTTGTCTAAGTAGAAGCAATAATGCTTGCACTTCACATAGTTCCTTTAGATGTCGGGAGGATGTCTCAAAGCGCTTCACAAGCTTTTATCGTATCATGTAGCACCTATGTGTTTGTGGATGAACGCAGCAAGCAGCCAATTGGCACAGAGCAATGTTCCACAAACAGCCATGAAGTGAGTAACAATTTATCTGAGGAACTGCTAGCCAGGACAAACTGTTCATCTGCCCCTTGTGCCGATTTATCATTTTCAACTGCTTTCAACTGCTTTTTATACTAAAAACTGCTAACGTGTGTAAGAAATGTGCACTTGTGCTCCACCCAGCCAGTTCCGCAGCTCTCAGATTTACACAGTGGCAGTCCCATGGATAGCTGCAGGCTGCTCAGTCCAACCCATCTCGGAATCAGGCTTGTTATAGTGTAGGAGGAGTACAGCTCTGCTTGGAAGTTTTTCTTTTGCTTATACAGTTTAATTTTATTCCCTTCTTTTCTGAAAGTGTTCTGACAGTTCGACTCCATACTTCTACAGAGGTATAGTTTCACAGGTATAATTAACCCTCTAGTACTTGGTCCAAGAGACAATTACTATAATCTTTGCGCTTGATAAAGTGACTTATCCTGGTGGCACAATGCACTTCACAGGATTTTACTGTTAAGTGCAGTGAATCTGTATTTGTCGGCAAATACAACAGCCAATTTGTGCACAGCAGGTCCCACAGACAGCTGTGAAGTGAATGACCATTTTTTAATTTGGGGGATTGTTGGCCAGGACAGCAGGATAAATTACCTTCTCTTTTCAAGCAGCAGACGGAGCCTCGGTTTAATGTCTTATTGGAGTGCCAACCCTGGTACTTGGTTCAAAGTCCTGGTACTTGGTCCAAGTGGGCATTTTTCATCTGTGAGGCTTGATAGCAAGTGTTAGCAAGTATTATTAACCAGCTGATTTGTCAGCCTGGTCCAGTGGTAACACTCTCACCTTTGAGTCAGAAGGTTGTGGGTTCAAGCCCTACGTCGGGACTTGGAATCACATAGTCTAAGTTGATACATTTCACCCATAAAATACACAGTCAATCCACTTTACACTATATTCTGTGAAGGGCTATATCAAATCCAGGAATTATTATTATTATTAATAAGCAATTCATGGTTGGGTTGTGGGGGAAAGTCATAGCAAAGTCCGAAATCTATTCTCCCTGAACGCCATACGTCCACACCTGGGAAGGTCTGTGGATAGTGAGAGGCGGGAACTTTCGCTGATTTTCCACTCCCCAACATTAGTATTGTACACTGCTACATAAATATGACTCTGGTACTCTTCCAAGTCAGCAAGTTTCAGCTACTCAGTGGATAAGCTAGTTTTGGGCCATTTTTACAAGAGCAAATTATTGGCAGATTGACAGTATTGGTGAATGCACTGCCACCAGTCATTGGAGACCATACTTTTGAAGGATTATAATAACAAAAGCCATATTTACATGAGCACTGTAGCACCATTAATAAGTGTGACATTTCTGGATTCATACATTTTAGCAGATTTCAAAACATTATTTTCTATCATGCTTTTTGTATTGGAAATGCAGCAAGAACTTCTTAAACCCAGTCCTAAACGTGCATCAATAAAGACTCAATGCCATTACACATTAGTTCATGTCCATAAACTCTACTGAGCTACAAAATGATACATTATTGAAGCACAGAGCTGAAAGACAATTCCAAAGGATTGTGGCTAAACCAGATATGATCTGTCAGTATTCTTTGCAATTGTGAACAATGCCACAGAATGAGCAGCCAAGAAACTGCATGTGCCAAAAAGAATTTACTGATTAGCAAGAAATGATAGGCAAGTCACTTCTGATCACTTACTCTCAGCTGTCACAGACATTGAGCTGCCATTTAATATGGACAAATACAGAATGATGATTTCAGAAAGAATTAACAGCAGGAATAAAACCTAAATTGTATCTTCTGCAATAGGACATCATGCAGAAGATGGATTTAGACGTACTAGTGGGTATATTGCTGAAAGTATCGGCACAGTGATGCGACAGCAGTAAAGATGACAAATAGGATCTTGATCTTGTGATCTTGAGAGCACAAGTCACAGGAAGTGCTAATGAATTTTCTACACAGCATTGACCAGACCTTTTCTAGAATGTGGTGCACACTTCTGTTTCTTGTAAGGTTGTTCGTTAAAAGAGCCAGCACAGCAACAACAACAAGATTGCATTTATAGAGTGCCTTTCACGTCGGGAGGACGTCCCAAGGCACAGACACGATTGGTAAATAGTTTTCTTCTGTGCTTTAAAGTTCTATTTTTTTCCCTATATATATTTTGCACTGATTCACATTGTTAAATAATGTTGTATATTACATCAGTTTCATGTTATACTTTATATATGGGGTTAGAGCTGAACTCAAATTTTCTCTCATTTGCCATTGCAACCCCTTAATTATTTTGGCAATGGCAGAAGACAAAGCTTCCTCGAGGGTTCATTTCATGTTGTGGCTCATTCAGATGCTGCCAATAGTGCCTCAGGAAGCCTATATTATTGAGATCCAAAAGACTGTAAAATAGGCATCTTTTACTGCTGTCAGAGATTAGATGTTAAGTGATGAGTAAAGTATCATCTACTGTGTCCCAATTATGTAATGCCCACAAAATATACAGTCACTACACTTTACAGTATATTCTGTGAAGCTCTTTGAAACGTCTTGAAGACGTGATAAGGTGCAATATCAAATGCAAGAATTATTATTATTATAATGTATTTTAACACCAATTACAAAAGCAAACAAAAATCTTGGACCCCAATTCCACCAATGAAAGGATACCATCCAAGATCATTAAATCAAAGCATTTCTTTTGTAAAAAGACGGATCCACTGACTAATTCACCATCATTTGAATCCTGAAGCCACTTGAGTCTCAGTATAAATATTGCAGCTAAATGCCTGACCAACAGTCACAGAAGAAGCATCAGTAAAGATTGGAACTAAACTATCAACATGCACTAACCTGAGTTGGCTGAGAAGGAATTTTAAGCTTGGACAGCTTTGCCCTGGCACATGCTTTCATCTCAGCTATGTTTCCGTACGATTCGCTGTTGTAATCCTCTGAAGTAGGTTTCAGTTCTGGAGATTCACTAGGGATTTGGTCTTGCCCATCCATAGGTCTTACATATGCTGTAGGCTTCTGCTGCATCATATTTGGTTTTGATGGTAAACACGATGGAAATGTTTGAGATGAATGTTGGCTGGGGACAGGAACATTCGGACCAGAGGACAAGCTCTCAGGATCACAGGAGTGTAAATCCAGATCTTGAGGAGATTTTGTTGGAGGGCAGTCTTTGTTATGATTATTGCTAGTTGGGATCTTGGAATTGGTAAACTCACTGGAATGTATGGGGGATAATGATGGTATGGGAGACAAGGGTAGTATTGGTGAAGACAATGGCAACAGTGGTTGAAATTGCTGCAGTTGAGATGACAGGTCCTGGGCATGATTGTCTGTGTCCGTTTGCTGTTCATTTCTCCCGTGATGGTTTCTGTAACTTTCCTGACCACTGTGGCAGCTGTCCTTAACTTGGCTTCGGCTGTGAAATGAGCTTTTAGTGTTATGGCTGGAGCTTTGGATGTTCTGTTCCACCAATGCAGTCTTTTTCTGATTTTGAGAAGAGCAGCTACCTGCAGCTGGAACCGAGGTGGGAGGTCCCATTGAGCAGGGATTGTTGCTATGAACAGAAGCTTGCATTAAAGTATTGTTTTTCTCTGGACCAAATGACCTCTGATTCTTTTCTTGAGACATGACACTGACTCCACCTTTTGGTATGCCAATGAGGTTCTGATGCGACTTATTACTTATTAGATCCTTCATCTCATCGTAGTTGCCCAGCATATTCTGAATACGACTGGAAAGTTCATCCCCTTTATCGGTCTGCATGAAAATTGAAAAACAAGACATTGACTCAGTAACCCACATGTGGATCCCCTTGTGAAAATGAATATACTTTTCTGTAGAAGCATATGCATGTGACATTGGCATTTACTTCAGGAAACAGAGGAGAAAATTATTTATTGTGGAATTTAATAAATTGGTATTGTTAAATGCTACATAAGCTTTTTTACACTGATTTGATATTTCAGGGAGAAGCATACAAACTACATAGATTTACATAAATTGTACCGCATGGAAACAGACCATTCAACCCAAATGGTCCGTGCCACATGAGTCTTCACCAAATCCATATCCTTCTATTTCCTTCTCCCTCGTGTTTATATCTATCTTCCCCTTAAATGCAAGTCTCTCCACCTCGCCCCCTCCCTTGCCTCATTGTATAAGCTGTGCAAAGAGCAGAATAAATTTAATTTTTTTTTTAAAAAAGTGGAAGACCTCTTCAATCACCCTCCTTCCCCCTCTGACCTCTACCCTCCCTGATCCCGACCCCCAGCTCGGGTCCAAAATACTGACTGTCCAGCGCCTTGGGACGTCCTCCCGACGTGAAAGTCGATATACAAATGCGATTTTGTTGTTGTTGGCTTTATCCTTTGATTCAACCTCGGGTCATTCCTTTTGAGGCTAAGTTTATTCCGTAATATTAAGTTCAGTGAGTTATGTCATTCAGACGTTACTGTTCCCTGTCGAGAGTTAAATCTCAGATCTTGGGAGAAGAAGCTGCACAGAGCTAACTAGCCTTTTACTGCTGTACTTCTTAACTCTTGTGAACCACAAAATAGGAAATGCAGAATAAATTAAATGTCCAAAGCAGTGTTAAAGATGTGCGTAACACAGGACAAAAAACATGAAGTCAAATTAATGTGAACTACTCTATAACCTACCTTGTATGGCTCGCCAAAGAGAGGGGTATTTTCAAGGAAGGGTTCTTTGTCGAGATGAATTTCTTGGTTTCTCCTCTCCCGTTCTCTAATTCGAAGCAAATTTCTGTCCTCATTGTATAAGCTGTGCAAAGAGCAGAATAAATTAAATGTCTTTATTTAAAACAAACAAACATTAACTTTCTGAAAAGAAGTTACAAAACATGTCATGAATTTACAAAGGCAGTTACAGGATCAGTAAACAGCTATCTATAAGCCACAACAACAAATCAGTCCTTCACAGAGGGGCAAGTCTTTATCAGGCAAGTAAAATGCAGCTGTGTGTAATGTCATTCAGAAAGCTTCAATTTCTATATATTTTTCCCAAATGTCTATTTTTTTTCTGTGAGATAAATGTGTTTTCCAGATGTATGATGTAAGGTAAAATAAACTAAATACAGCACTTGTAGGGTTCCTGGAAGTACAGTTTTTTTTAACATTACTTACAGGACGCGTGAAACATCCACACACATAAGTTGGCTAACAGACAAACAGCAGCAAGTTAACAAAGCTACAATTCATAGAGATGTTCTGAGGACATTGTGAATTGCAAGAGTCACACCTCAGCGGTTTGCAAATGTCAGCAGAACTCAGATTGACCTACAGCTTAAACTCATTGCTAGCTTACTGGGCATAATAAAATTCAGTGCAGTCGCACAGCATCTGTTGAACTGTACCTGGCAGCATAAAACAAGTGAAAGAGCATTGGCCTTAAGAGAATTCCAGTATAATGCTACAGTACCTACTTTTGAACTTTCTGTTTGGCAACAGGATACCAGTAAACACATCAGATACACATGACCCCGAACCACTGCTGCTCAGCTGCAGATTTCAGAATACAGCAACACTATAATTTCTTTAACCCTCATGATAGCATCACAAACAGACAAGGCCATGGCGTAGACTAACAGACGTTTCTTTTTTCTTGAAAAAATAAACGCCCAATTCTGCCTTCCCCACCTCCACGACATTGCCTCTCGCCTCAGGCCAGCAAGACCTTCATCCATGCTTTATAAATACAATTTCTTGTGTTTGCATAAATGTGCTCCTCTCTGCACTGTTTCCATATCACCACTGGGATCTGTTCCAGTTACAGTGAATGTGTGCAATATTCTCAATTCTATATAAATTAAGTGATACTGAAGGGCGATTTTGATGCAATTCAGACACGTGAGCCAAATGAATGCTAAACTGCTTGATCCCAGTTTATACCCAGCGCTCTGTAATCTTTCCCCACACCCAATGTGCGCATTTGGTTGTATGTAAAAATTTGAAAAAAAAACTTTAACGTTTACATTTGTGTTCACTGGAGCAATAGAGCAAATTAAGGTCAGAACAAATTTGTGCACCAGCCATTGTGGACACAAAAACCTGTGCTACTTCACTTAATCCTGCACGTACCAGGGCAATTAGCCTTTCCATTAACCCCTGCACTGCTGAATTCCCTGGTGAATTTTGACACAGACCAAGTACTAAATTTAGCCAGCATGCAAGACTTCTTAAAAATACGTTGCTAATTATGCAAGTATTTAAAAATTTCAATTGAAGGGAATCAGGTCTTGCAGAACTGTACCCCAATACAAAGGCAGAAAGGGGGCAGACTGGAGCAGAGGTGACGTGACGCAAACTAGATATATTTCTGAGTAATAATTACTTTCTGCAGTTTATAATTTTGACTTGAAACTATGTGTGTGTGGGCTCAGAAAGGGAAGAAAGAAAGCAACATAGATACAAAAGAGACAGAAAATCGGCAGTAAACTCTCGAGCTTGCTTCCCAATGGAGATTGGAGGTTGGGACGCTTCTGACCCTTGTTGCTGGGAATTGTTTCTGATGGTGATTTGTTTTTTGGTCAAGTAGGTGTCTGACACATGCGGAAACCCATCACCATGCTTAAGAGTATCCAAAACAAGCTGAGAATTCTGCAGCCCACCTACACATAAAATCCCAGATAGATTGTTGAAATGGTATGTATGCACACTTTCTCCCTGGAGGGATGCATCCTGCTTACCTATTTTCAGAAAGTATTAGGCGCAGTTTGGCAAGAGCCAAGGCTTGGGGACCCCAGAGTGTGTGCTGAGGTACTGCTGGAGTCTAACCAGCTAAAACTGCATAGCTTGCCATTGATATCACTGTCTGACAAGTTTATTTGCTGCTTGTCCAGCTCAGACCACCCTACCAGTTAGGGCTTTAGTTTGCTGGGTAACAGGAGCAGCGTAGGATGATTCCCTGCCCCCTTTAACTGGTCTTCCCTTCCACGTTCTGCCGATGAGCCAGGCTGGCTGTGCTGTCATCAGCATTGGTGAGAGGGGAAGGAGACAAAAAGAAATTGGAAGAGGTAGCATTCCGTATGCCCTTTAAAAGCAATTCCCTCTCTCTTCCCCACTCCACCCTCCCGCCCCCGCCCTTCTATCTCAGTTTGTAATATGTCATAAGAACAACGTACACAGTTTACAACATCGCAACGAAAACTAATAATAAACCTTAAATTTGACATAGTGCCTTATCATGTCATCAAGACGTCTCAAAGCGCTTCACAGAATAGACTGTAAAGTGAATTGACTGTATATTTACTGTGAATCATAGTGATTGTGGGTGAATACGGCAGCCAAGTTGCGCACAGCAGTGTTTCACACACAGCTGTGCAGTGAATGACCAATCTTATCTCCCTTCTCGCATCAAATCATACCAATGGGATCTTGACTGTTCATTTTGAGCCTCCTTCCCTCTGCCAAAATCCCCTATCTAAATATTTTGCACGCTTCTCTGAAACCTCTTGTAAAATCGCACTCTCTAATAGCTGGTAAGCTAATAGAGGAAACTAGACAACTAATCACGATAAAATCTGGACTTGGAAGGTTAAGTATTTTCTTTTTCCTCCCCAGCACAACTGTGCCACTTCTTGCCAAGAGGAATGATTTTGGTAGAAGCACGATCTACAGCATTTTTTTTTAAAATCGGGAATCTTCAAGAAGCTGTCAGGAAAGATTTAAGATGTCCGAAGCCCCAAATTGGAAATGTTCAGCATCGATGGAGGGCGGCGTCGCCATAGGCTGTGCAGAGGTTGACAGGAACTATGCTGTTCCCCAGACGACGACACTGACACTGAGAGACCACCGAGCCCAAAAGCACCAGGATTCCAGAGAATTAAATGAAAAACTGACATTAAAAAAAGTTCAGAAATTTTCCAGCCTGCCTGGTCTGGTCAGAACAGTAATAAAAAGGCTTCTTGAGCCAAACCCAAGCAGGCAACAACCCTAAGCCGTGCTATTTTGCCCTGCGAATAAAACTGAGCCACCAAAGCAGTTAAACAGTGCACAAACACTGGTTCTGTCATTGGTGGTTACCTACCAATGTAACACACCACACTGTCTGTAAAAACAACAAAAAAATTACATTTGTGTAGTGCCTTTCACATTGGGAGGACATCCCCAAGGCATAAGGGAGTTACTTGCAGCAAATCACTTGCATTAATAAAATGGGGACTGTGAGAGACAAGGGTGGTAGTGGGGGAAAAGAAAGCATAAGAATATAAGAAATGGTAAATGAAAAAAAGCCAAGGTCCATCTAGTTTGTCTTGCACCTTCCTGGCAGTTGCACACACTCCGGCTAAGCATTTGACAGCTTGCCCAGATACTGCAAAATGTGATGTACGCTTCAACACATGTTTTTAAAGCTACAAACCTTTGGGAGAGGAATAAAAGGTATGCGCAATTGTAACTAACTTTTACAGTGCAATATAAAAGTCAAGGGTGTGACTATTCCTGTAAACCTTTTATTAGCTGTTCAGTTTTTCAGGGGGGGGGAGGTGTGGTTGAGAGGGGAGAAAGGAAGAGGTTCAAAACAAAACTTACATTTTGGTTTTAACCAAAACATGACATGCATTCAGGCAGCGTGCTCCTGACTGGTCTGATACAGTTACAGTGTTTGGTTGACTGCTACTGTATACGCCTAAATGTGCATTATTTGGATTGACCAAGTTAAATGTAATTAAGTGCAGTGGTGTCGGAATAAAAATGAAATAAAAAGGAATCAAGGATAAATAACAGAATAAGTAAGCAGGGTTAAATCACAAATAAAAAATGTTTTTAAATATCTTAACAAGAGGAAATGTTTATTCCCCATCACTAAAACTAACAATGCCACTTCCCCACCTCCCACCCCGATTTGCATCATCCAACCAACAAGTCGGGCAGGTGACCTATTTGCAATGCCTCTGCCAATGTTACTCAAGCCTCAGTTGCTAGGATGTGCGTCAGAGCACTGCTGCCTTTGCCCAGAATTTCACTCGTCCTGTCAGGAAACAATCTGCCCGTGTTCTTTCTCTTCAACTCTCCAACTGGGATCAGGCACCAGCGTGGGCCTCACTGCTGTGAACCTGTGTGCTGACATCACAACAACATGCTGCCCCCCCCCCCGAACCTCTCCCCATCGCACATTCAACTACATTAAAACACAGCAGCTCAATCAGTATTGCACTGCTCCTTAATTTTGTGTGTGTGGGGGGGTGGGGTGAGAGAAAAGAGGAGAAGAAAATAAATTCACATGCAACACAATATATGGGGGGGGGGGAGGCACAACGTGCAATTGTACATGTGTACTGCATCTATCTTTAGGTCTGCCAAAATGCAAAAGTACTTACCAGCTGTCAATGGGCAACTAATTTTACATCAGCGTGGATTAGATAAGATTACATGCGCAAGTAATAAATGTAATAATAGTAAACCTTGCATTTGATATAGCGCCTTATCACATCTTTGAGACGTCACAAAGCGCCTCGCAGAATATACTGTAAAGTGAATTGACTGTATATTTTGTGGGTAAATGAATTGTATAAGCTTAAAAAAAAGTTAAATTCAAGTCATTAAGAATCAGATATCACAATGCAGCCGAAAAATGGATTTTAATCTGTATCCTCCCCACCAAATGACAAAGATAATTGTTGGGAAAATACTGTCGCTTTATGTATTGTATATAGTAGTCTGCAAAGGAAGGAAGCCACAGTTGGTTGAGATTATGAATACACCCTCCAAAATGGTGTGTTCCAAACTCAGAGCTGGAAACTGGTCAGATCTTGGGTGTAGTTA